AGAGAGAATCCCAAGCAGGCTCCATGCCCAGTGCAGAGCCCAATGAAAGGCTCAGTCTCACGACCCTGAGATCATGACCTGAACCGAAATCAAGAGTCGAATGCTTAACTGACTAAGCCACCCAGGCACCCCTAAATTTCATTTTTTTTTTAGAAGTAGGCTCTATGCCCAACATGGGGCTTGCAGCCACAACCCTGCGATGAAGAGTCGCATGCTCTACTGTCTGAGCCAGCCAGGCAGCCCAGGAGATTTTCTTAGTAATCTCATTTTTTTTTTTCTTTTCCTGCCACATGGCTAGAGTCTCCAGTACAAGTAGGATCCTTAACTTGTTGATTTTAAAGGAAATGCTCTGAGTATTTTAACGTTAAGTATAACGTTTGCATAAGATTTTTGGAAGGTGACTTTTACCAGACTAATAAAGTTTTTGATTTCTAAGAGTTTTGAACAAAGGCCTTTCTGACGACTGAGGTGATTATATGGTGTTCTTCCTTTGTTAATATGGTGCATCCAGGAGCAGTTAGGCCATGTTGTGAAAATTTATAAACCCTGAAATCTCAGTAGGTTAGTTTGCACAAGTTCATTTTCTATTCATGTATAATCTAGTGTAGGACACTGGGGGTGGTCCCTGTCTGGTCTCCCTCCACTTGGAACTCTGCCATCTAAGTGTGTCATGGTGGGGAAAGAGTGAGCATGAAGGTGGCACACTTGCTGAGTTCCCAGGCCCAAGTGACATGTGTCTGGCTCCTCATGGACCTCCCTGCAGGGGGCTGGGAAGCAGAGTTTCCCCTGTGCCCAGGAAGGAGAGGTGCTCTGGATGTGGGCACCCAAATAAGCTGTTGAGCATAAGAAATCTAGAACGTTCACCAGCTTACTGACATTCCATCCTTGCATTTGTAAGCCCAGCGTGGCCAGGGAGTACTGATTTTTATATGCTGCTGGTTTGGGGTTGCTAAGATTATTTTAGAAGTTTTGCGCAAGTATTTGCCTGTAATTTTTCTTGGACTGTTGTCTGGGTTTGATGTCAAGACTATTCTACTCAAGACGAGTTGCGAGGTGTCTCCCCTTTTGTTCTCAGGGGCGTGCGTGTAAGACTGAAGCTACTTGTTCAGGACAACTTGCTGGTAAGCCTGTCTGGACTTGACGTAAACCAAGTACCTCTTCTCTGTAGCACTTACCATGGCTGTGATAGTTCACGGGGCTGGGGTGGGGGGATTTTTGGTTAAGAGGAGTGAATGAAGTAAAGTGGTCTGCAGACTGCTTGGGACCCAGGATCTGTGTGTATGTGCATATAAATAATCTTGCCAGACCCTGTTCTAGGTATTAACTCCCTGAGCCTTCACAGACCTGTGAGGTAGAAGCTGTTATTACCCCCACCCGCAGCTGGAAACACTGGGAAACAGAGCGGGGGCCACTTACCTATCAGCTGCAGAACCAGGACCAGAGCCCTTATTAGAAGTTCCTCCAGTGCGTCCCCAGCAAATGCAGGACTAGAATGACCCAAACCCTGCCTGACCAGGTTCCTAAACCATGTACCCCTAGTGAATGAAACAAATTGATGAGTGAGTGATGGTTTAAATGAATGTGCAGGCTCCGCCTCTCACCCTGCTGGAGGGAACCGGGTGGGGCCGTCACACCCTCAGAAGACTGGCCCTGCAGCACCCATGGCTGGACATGGATTTGAGGTCATCTGAGCCTCCTGAGTTGCTGGGTTAAGCATGCAGGTTCCTAGTCCCCTCTGGGGGTGGCAGGCTCAGCCCAGACGTCCGCACTTGGCCTGTGACCTCCTAGTCACCTGCAGGGAGGTTAGGGCCAGACCAGGCTGGTTCTTGGTATTGGTGGGGAGTAGAGGACTCAGCAGCTGACTGCTTCTCTCTTGGACACTGGGAGATGGGCAGGACACTGAAGGGGGATGACACACAGGCTGGGATTAAGTCCACGGCTCATCATGAGTGGAGGAGAGGTAGCCCACGTCAGACAGAGAAAAGACCGGAACCTATGGGGCTATTTCCAAGCCTGTGCGTGTTGCCTTGGGGGTGGGAGGGGGATGGAATCTTACAGAAGGTGTGCTTTCAAAGACCCTGCTTTAGGGGCTTTGAAAAGTAGCTCCAGGTACCTCTCTGCCCCCTGAATTCCACCCTAGAAATTTCAGTTTTACCAGCACGCTGGGGGAGGGGGAGGGCAGCAAAAGACTTCTGCATTAATCCACTTACAGAGCACAAGAGTGAGGAGGGAAAATTCCAGGCGGGCTGGTGGACTCTGTCCCACCCTCCCCAAATGGCCCCAACAGTGGCACACGGCTGTGGGAACTGGGACGTGTGCAGGGGCAGCTCGGATTGTCACTTGGACGCAGCTTTCATTGTGTTTATTTTCCTTTCATATAAAATACAGGTTTGAAATGTCTGCAGGAAGATGCCACTATCAGCCAGGTTAGTGGGGATATATATATATTACAACGTAACAGGGGTGAGGCATGAGGGAGAGGGAGGCGCTTCTGAAGAGTTGGGTTCCTTCTGACCTGGCGTGTGCCCACCCTTCCCTGGCTCCAGCCCCACCTGCAGGGACACCCGGTCCTGGTCCCCAAGACCAGTCACAGCCCGGCTGCGGGGCTGGCACAGGGTGGGGCAACTCCCAGAGCCGGGAGGATGTCTTAAGGATGTCAGCCAATAAGTTAAACACCCATGTCCCCTGCGGTTCTCACGCAGGGGCTACCCTGACCCACGGGCTCTCCATCCCCCCAACACTGCTCCCTCCACCTGGCAGGGCTCCCAGAGGAGAGGGGTGGGCAAGTAAAGCCCCCCCCCATCTGCTGACGGGTGCGTGAGGCGGAGACTTCGTGTTAGTACTGGGGCCATGGTGGCCCCCCGCACGCAGCAGCATCCAGCAGAGTTGGGCCAGGCGGAGGGCAAGACGGGAAGGGAGACAAGACCGCAGTGAGGGGACTCAAAGTGGGTACCAAGCCCAGCCCACACTGCTGAAGAACAAAGACCACACGCTTTAAATAAGAAAGTGACACGTTTGGCCTGCAGCGGCCAGCCCGCTACACGAGGGGACTCCACTGGCAGTTCACGGATGTCCTCCCCTCTATGTCCAGGACCCCAAAACAAGAGCGGAGAAAGCTGCTCAAAACTCAGGAAGGACTCAAAGTGACATGGTTGTTTAAGAAGTTCGATCCTGGCATTTGCTTGACCAAGTCCCAAGCCCAGGAGAAGCAAGCACTCAGTCACGCAAACCAGCACCCAAGGGGTGTGGGGGCAGCGGCCTGGCCCGTGTGCAGGACCTCCCTGCACACCTGCCTCCGACAGCCCACCTCACCAGCGAGCGCTGTGTCCAACAAGGAAGGTGGAGAGAGCAAGTGCGCTGCAGGGTAGGAGCCGGGGCCGCTCAGCCTCAGCGGGCGCCCCCATCCGTCAGGGACCTCCCGTCCTTCCCCGGGCAGAGCTTACTGCGCACTGGTGGAAAGGGCGGAGAAGCACCCCCCTGGCGCCACCAGGATGGAGCAGGGTAGGAGGGGAGCCCACGGGGGCGGGGGGACAGGAGATGGAGTTTAAGGCACACAGCAAACGACAGAAGAGGGGTCTGCCGGCCTTCCCCAGGACAGAAAGGCCCCTCCACTCTCCAACTTCACTCACCCCGGAACTCCTGGCCCCGGCTCAGGTACACCTACGTCCTCCCTTGCTCCATCTTCTTCCCAGCTCCCCAAAGCGCCAGGTGGTCAGGGAGATGAAGGGATGGGAAGAGGACGGTTCTGGGGCCAGTACTGTGACGGGAGCGCCAGCCCCAGGCCTACTGAAAGGCCACCTGGTGAACCTCTCTGGGTCACCTCAAAAGCTTACACCATCTTGCATTTAAAAAGCAGGGCAGGGAAAGTAAAAGGAGCCTCCCCGGTCTTCTCTGCTTTCTGCCCACCCGACTGGAAGTCCCCTTGCTTCCAGGTCCCCAGGGTACAGCCCCCCACCTTTCAGGGTCCTCCACCCTTGTCATTTCAGCAGGTTCAGGACCCTAGAATGTAGGGAGGGATGAAGAGTGTCCCACTGTGCCTTGGTCTGCCCATCTCCCTGTGCTGCTCCCAAGTGGGAGGGGGGAGGAGAGAGGAATACAAAGTGAAAGCAGAAACCAAAACCAAAACCAAACCACGGGTTCACAAATCAGGAACGAGACCTGCCTGCTGGCTCCACGGTGGGCCTGGCGTCCGCTCCCACGGAGGAGGGCAGCAGGAAGCTACTGGGGCTCCTGCCCCGCACGGCGGAGGGCTGGCTGGGCCCGGGACACGTGCAGCCTGCCTGAGGACAGGTCCAAAGTCCCTCCCGGTCTCGGAGCCGCCCTCGGAGCCTCTCTCGAGCGTTCTCCTCGCTCACGGCACCTACTTCTAGGTCTTCTCCTCCCGGTCTGTTTTTCTCCTTGTTATGTTCCTAGGTTTGATTTTCAGAGAAAGTTCCCACAGGGCCTCCTCCGCCAGGTGGTCGCTGAAGTCATTGAAGAAGTTTATGATGTCATCATTTCTTCGGATATCGTAGTGCCTGTGGGGGGCCTCCAGTCAGGGCCGGTGTGGGGCCAGCAGCCCGACGGCCTCCTGGAGGGGCCATGCGCACGGTCCCGGCACCGGAGCTCCCCATAGGCAGAGGGCTGGCAGCAGAAGCCTGGTCGCCCCTCTCCATGCTGTCCCAAGGAGCCCCCACTTCTTGGCCCACGCCCTGCACCCTCCCTGGATGTGCTGTGTGGAGAACAAGCTGGCCACCATCTCTGGATGCAGACCCCGTTCCACAGACCCTAGTGTTCCTTCGTTCCCTCCCCGCTCCGGTACTCACGCTTGCTGGAAGCACCGCATGCTGTCCAGAATGTTGAACTGCTGCCACCGTTTGGAAAAATTCACCTTCCCGTCAATATAGTCTGGGTTCCCCAGGTGAACAAAGGTGAGGTCCTGCAGGATAAGCCCCCTGGGAGAATGGAGAAGCCCAGTTACTGCTTCGGAGGGCACGTCTGGCCTGTGTTGGTCTCTTCCTGCGTGAACTCCTGACCTAGAAACTGTGGGTCCCTGGGAAAGCCAGCTCAGGTACGGCAGGGGAGCCTTGTAAAATACATGAATAGGAAAAAATAACCCAAAACCAGGGGGGAGGGAGGCATGGACAGCCTCTTTGTTAACAGGTGCTTCTCATTACAGAGAACGTGAAGCCATAAGGTGAGCGAGGGGGCCCAGCCGGCCACCCCCAGGGGAAAGCAGGGTAGCATTCTGGGAGGGCAGCCCCCACCCCGGGCCACTGTGGAGTCTTCTGCCCCCCTCATGGAGGTTCCCAGTATCTACCAGCTTAGCAAGGGCTCTGACAACAAAGAAACCTGTCTAGCTTTGACTTTTTCCACTATTTCCTTCAGCTAATGTGACTAGGACTGCTTTCCCCAAACCCCCCATTTCCTCGATGCCATGGCTCACACTTGGGGAAACGCTCTCAGGGCTCCTGGGTGACTGACTGCAAGGTGCAGCCAAGTCTGAGGACCCTTGGTGGGGGGAAGCCTGGCAGATGCGGGAAGGAAACGGCAGCGGGACTGGGAGATGGGACAGCAGGACCGTTTACATTGGACCCTTCCTTTCTGTTTTAAAAGTAAAACCTGCTCCTTGTTACATAGTTTAAAGTTAAAATAGAAGTCTAATCGTCTGAGCTGGAAACCTTTAAGGGAGGGTTTCTGTATCTACACCTATGTCTCCCCCAGAGCAGCCGGGGGGCAAACCTGCAGGGAGCTCTACTCACAGGTAGGGGATGCAGGGGGGCTCCACCTCGGAGAGGGCGGCCCGGTAGGCGCGGAAGGAGGACGAGCTGTCGATCAGTGTACAGTACTCGGCCAGGCCCTGGGCGGGAGGGATAGTGTGTGAGGGCTGAGACCATGCTGGGGCCCCAGTGCCAGCCTCCTCCCTGACCCACCCGCCGCTGCCCAGCCCTGGGCCCTGCCTCGGCTACAGGGAGACCGGGCCTGCTGCGGAGAACTGGCTCCCAGGCCCGCATATGCCTGCTGCAGAACCACGGCTCGGAGGGCCTGGAGCCAGGCCTCTTGCTGGGTGCCACCCCACACTGTAGCCCAAGGAAGCTTCTCACGCACACCAGGAATGGTGCCATCCCTGGCTCCCAGCCTGCCTTTGATCCTCGCTGCGCTCCAGGCAGAGCTGACTAGGCTTAGCAGGTGACCTCACTGAGCTGCTGCTGCCCCCTCCCACCCGCTGCTTGCCTCTTCACCTTTTAGCTGCCTCGGACCAGGAGTGTCACCTCCTCAGGACCTCCTAGGTGTTTCTGTGGCAGCCAGTGTGAATGTCCCATGCTTCTCCATACAACAGACTTACAACTTTCTCTTTATGTCACCCCTTAAGAGAACACCTGGGTGGCCCAGCTAACACCCAGCCCCTATGGGCTTTGCCTCTCTTCTCAAGGAACCTCCCCACACAAGGATAAAGGTCTAGTTCCTTGCCAGGCCTCCCCAAAGCCCTCCTGGTCCAGAGCAGGTCCCCTCCCCAGTGACACAGCCACACTGGCCCCCGCCCTGCTGCTTGAGCGTGCCAGTTTCTAGACGCTTCTGTCCCCTCTGACCGGAATTCCCTTTCTTCCCAGCAAACTCTTCCTATTTGGGTCTTGGTGTGATTGACCATCCCTCAGGGGACCTCCCCGACCCTCGAACGGGCCAGACGACCCCATCCTTTCCCCTTTGGCAATTACCCTAAAGAAATCAATAGGTCTGTCCTGTTCACAGTACGTTCCTAAGGACTAATGCTGCTGGCAGCCCAGAACAGCACCTCCAGAAGCATGGGTGCAAGGAAGGAAGGAAGAAAGCAGTGAAGCAGGGACCCAGGTATGATCCTGCAGCCCAGGCAGCAGGACCCTGTGAGGGGACAAGCCCAGCACAAACCACGCAGCCCCTTCAGGCCCAAAGACTGGAGATTAGCCACAGCAAACGGGGGTGGGGTTGGGGGGTGGTTGGCAGCTGAGCAGACACCTGAGCACCTTCCCCAACAGCTGGCTCTCCAGGGGCTCGGCAGGCCTCCCACCTCCTCCCTCCCCACCACTCACCTCCGAGGTCTGCTTCTGCCACTCCAGCCTGCGGATGGGAGCCGAGTCCAGGGCTGAGAGAATGGCCAGGTAGGAGTTAAAGTTGTTCAGCTTCCGTAAGTGCTGCAGAGAGAGGGGAGGCGGCCGTGAGGCAGGCCCAGGGCTGCTGGGCAGGGTCCGAAGGAGGAGACTCTGGGGAGGACAGCCACGGTTACCTTCATGATCTTGATGAACTTCAACAGCAGCCGCTCCCTGTCCTGGGCTTTTTCTTGTAACATGATTATTGACCGGACCCTGCAGGAACCCATGGGAAAAAGAGATGGCTGAACTGACTGGTCTCCTTCTAGACCCCTAGGTGGTCCTAGTGGAGAGAGAGGGATGTGGACACCTGCACCACATGCCCAGGGCTTTTGAGGTGTCAAGCATAGCTCCCCCCATTTCTGCTCTCGAGGAGCTCACAGCATTCCAGGGATGGGCTGAGAGGTCACAAAGCCTGATGGGGACCTCGGGCCGTGCGTGCAGATGGAGGCTTTATAACATCCAAGCAGAGATTCCCTGACAAGTGCTGACCTGAGCACCCTTGGGGCTGGAAATGCTCCTCACGTGGCCTCAGGATTAGTTCAGGAGACGAGTGAGCATGTGGGTTAGGAGGGCACATTGAGAATCTGAGCAGCAACCCCAAGGCCAGCCTTGCACGCGGACCTCACCGTGCCCTGGAGACCCTCTGGCTTCACACGGCCACGGCCACGGCCAGTCCCCTCAGACGGGGTGCTGCCTCTGCTTGTCCTTTGGCCCCAGTGAAGGGTGCCTGCCCTGAGCACACCCTGAGGACCATGGCTCAGAGGGGCCCCCCTGCACCTCCTCCTTGGAACCCCGAGGCGTGTGCCCAGCAGGGGGCTGGGTCGGAGGCTGGGCTCAGGGCCGTGTGCAGTTTCCGTCTGCCCTACAAGCCCCTGCTTCCTGTGGCGGCTTGCTACCGCTGAGCTCACGCTGCTGAGGAGCGCGGCACTTCCTGTGGTGGCAGAAAAGCCGGCAACGTGGGACATGACCCAGGTTCCCTCCAACAAGCAGTCCTCGGAGCGTCTGACACATCTTGGATGTTCCGTCAGTGGCAGCAGTGGGCTTCGTGGCTACCACGCTCTGACCATCCTCTGTTTGACGCAGAGAGGCTGGGGGCGCCTTGAAGTCACATCTCAAAAAGCTGACCATTCTTTACATATTATAGGGTAAGTGTAGCTTCGGGCTTCGTTTTGCTTGAAGAATTCAGGCCTAGTTCAAGTATTAACGGGAAGGCACTCCTCTGCTGTTCTCTTTCAGGCAGCATCCGTGTGAGGCTCAGCCCTGAGGCCGCCTGGCAGCGGGAAGCTGGGCCGTGACCAGCTCAGGATGGCGCAGTGACCACCCCTGCCAGCACCTATGGCAGACATTACTAATCGATCCCGGCTCTCCTCCCCGTCCCAGGCTCCTCCTCAGCCAGCGTGCTCTCTGCTGCCTGCAGTTCCCAAGTAATGCCCAGGGTCTCGGAAGGAGCTAGGAGGAAAAGGGCACCTCCTCCTTGTGTGAAGGAGAGCACAGGGACCCAGCCAGACGTGCTGCGATAGAAAACCGGGGCTTCGCACAGCCGCCCCTTCTTACCAGTAGGACATATTGTTGAAGTGCTCCGTGAACTGGGTCAAGTTGGGGCTTTTCTCCTCATTCTGCTCTTTTGCCCAAAGCAAAACCTCAGGAATCTGAAAGAGAAGTAGACCGGATGGAGCTGGAGCCCTCTGGCTTCCCGACGATGGGCAGGTTCTCCTGCTTAGGGACCAGCAGCAGCTGCTCACCCCGGGGCAAGGGACAGCCTTCTTCCCAGCGCTGCTCAACACCATACCTCTATTTTATAAAAGAGCTCAGCATCCAGCAGGGTCAGCTGCTCGGCTATTTCATGGCTGTGAAAGTCATGCAAAGTCCCCGGCCTAGAAGACAGAGGCATGAGATGAGCGGTGGGGACAGGGACAGTGGGAGCTGGCTGGGCGCCGTCCTGCGGCCTCAGAGCCGGGCAGCCAGAGCGAGCAGCCGCCCCAAGCCCGGCCTCACGGCAGGACGACGGCAGCTTCAGAGCTGACCAGTGGCAGGTCAGGACCAGACTGCATTCCTACTGGGGACCGTGGTGCCTCTGCCGGGTGGGTCCCACTGCCTGAGGACTCAGCCTGACCCCATGGCCGGGGCCCAGCGGGAACAGAGATGGCTCCCCAGGGATGAAGACTGAAACTCGCTGACAAGGAAGTAATGCTTCAACATCTATGACTAGGACACAGGTAAAAAGACTAGAGCCTGTACAGGTTAGGAATGTTCAGGATGGCCCGGGGGGTGGGGGTGGGGGTGGTCAAGAATTCACAGCTACCATGTTAGTGCTGGGAAGACAAGAGCTGACCACAGCCCGGAATGCATTCACCTGTCCCTTGTCCTAGTAAGTGCCCCCCGCCCTGCTTCCTCACTTCCTGGTTAAAAAGGGGCGTTTTTTAAAATCACCCATCATGACCCCCTGGAGGAGAGGCCCAGCCCCTGGCGAACCCACTGGGCTGTCCACAAGACCACCCCAACCCATCGCAGGGCCTGGGCAGAACCAGGAAGAGAGGCTCTAAGGCTGGGGAGGTGGCTACCGGGCACCACTCCCGTGGAGGAGGGCCGGAGAAGCCACGGGCAGACAGCTGGTGGCTCACCTGGCGGCTACCCCCCGGGCTGCCAGGGGCTGGTCGGAGTTGGCACACCTGAGCAGCTTCTTCTGGTCCACCTTGTCCAGGATGTTCTTCCGGAGCACGCGGGCCAGGCTGAGCTCCCCGTTGCACACCAAGCGGAAGACCAGCTCCATCAGCAGCTTCAAGATCTCTTCTGTCAACTCCACGAGGCTAGAGGACCAACGGCCACACAGTGAGGGGCCGGGACACAGCCCAGGAAGAGGACGGCTGCCATCGGGCCCAGAATCCACCTCAGAATACCCAAGGGTCACATGGCACCGACCAGCAGGGCTAGGAAACCTCTTCAGGGAAAAGAGCAAGAAAAGGTGTCGGGATGGCCACCCGGAGCCTCAAAAGTGCCAGGAGAGGTCCCGTCCTGCTGGTGACACGAATGGCCCCGCTCTCAGTAAATGCTCGCTGGCACTGGACAAGCTCCAGGGCCCCCATTTGGGCCCGGAGCCACGGAGACACTCCCACTCCGATCCTGTCCCAGAGGAGGCCCCTGGTCCTGCCTGGGTGATGAATCACTACGAGGCCCCAGCCCCTCAGAGCAGCCGCCTGCAGGCCGCTCCTGAACTCCCTCTGCACAGCGCTTTCTGTGCCCGGCGGTCTCAGTGCTGTCCCGGGCTGAGGCCATCCTCCCCGCAGAAGGGAAGTGCCTTGAAGGCAGGGCCCACAGTTTCCTTCACCACGGCTCTCCAGACCTAGGAGACTGAGCGGCTGGACGTGCGCTTGTTAAGTGAATGGTGACGGTGAGTGCTGAGTCTGGGGGGAGGCGGGGGGGACTAGGCTATGCTGCATGTGCGAGGGACGGCCCCCACGAGGAGAGCGGTGTGGCCTGTGGCTGGGTCATTCTCCCCAAGGGTCTTGTTCAGGTGGGCAAGAGCAAGCCCGACCCAGAGCTGCAGGGCGGGGCTCTGTGGGCACAGCTTGAGAGAAGTGGGGGGAATGGGACGGGATGTCCCCAGCTCAGCAAGGAAGCCTGCAGCCCCGGTGGGGAACCCTGGGGTGCCCCGGCGTCCCTACCACCTCCTGGGCACAAGCACTCACCACAGTTCATCCACCACCCGCACCAGCACAAAGAACGTGTTCTTGCTGACGCGCTTCTTGAATGTGTCGGCGAAGGGAGAAAACTTCTCGTACGTGGAGTGTAGGTTAAGGAAAGCCATTCTCACAGGCAGGGGTGGGCGAGGACAGGGGAGGGCTACTTCTCCCAGCTGCCGTTTCCAGGGTGCTTATGATGTACACGAGCCCCGCATCCACTGCCTTTCCGTCGGGTCCTCCCAAGCTTCCCGTGGGACTTACTGAAACGTTGCAGGCTGCCCTGCTGAGCCTCAGGTGGAAAAAGGTGGTCAAAACCCAAATGCCCTAAACACTCTCTCAATGGGACTGGGGGGGGGTGGTGTGGTCCATAGGTGCCTCCTGCACTCTTGCCGTCTCTCCGTAGCTTCAGACGCCCCTTCCCCTCAGCAGCCACACACCAGGCCACCTCTAGCTCCTTGCCAAGGTCGTGGTTTCCGCCTGGAGGGGCAAAGATTCTTACCATCCTCTCAGACCCTGCTGTGGCTGTCCTTCCCGCTCTCCAGGAATCCACGGGTGCTCAGGAAGGAGCCTCGCACCAAGGACTGTCCCCAGAGCCTGTAGCCGCCGCGCAGGGTAGGGGCTGGGAACCTGAGCTCAGGAGTGTGTGTGTGTGGGTCACCTAAGCTCTCCGAGGCTGTTTCCTCAATCACGTAATAGGTAGTAATTTAACAGCATCTATAATACTGTAACAATATATCAAGCAGTTTTATAACTAAGTGAGCCTTCACGTGCACGGGCTTAGCATCCCGTCCGACACTAGAAGTTCTCAACAAGTGTGAGTTACTATCACTTGCTGAGCCAGGCCTGGGAGCAACTGAACGCGTGAGGCTACAGGGAACAAGTCTCTGCAGTGGGGGCTGTCTACTTCCATCTTGAGGGACCAGGTCCTCTAGGGCTGGGGCACGGGGACAGTGAAAGGAGCCACAGGGGTCCGGAGGAGACAAGAGGCCAAGCCTCAGGGCACGCAGGAAGGGAAGGGGGACAGCCTGGAGGACTCAGGACTTCCTGCCCCGGGCAGTAGCAGTTGTCCAGCAGATGGCAGTCGTGGGCTGTGGCATGGGGAGGTGGCCCGCTGTTACAGCAGCTTAGGTCAGCCTCCGCAGGAGGAGCAGGTTTGAGAGAAAGTCAATGACGCTGGGTCCTAGGGCCTGGGGTCATCCTCAACCATTACTGCACGGTCGTCCTCAGAAGGGTGAGCCCGGGACGCAGATACGGGTGACGGGTAGGAGCCAATGCTGTCTGGACATGGTCTTTCTGTCGACTGCTGGGTCTGCCACCAGGCGGAGTGGCTGTGCCTTCCCCCGAGGCTGTTCATGGGAGTCTTGACTCCCACAAGCCCTGCACACTTGGGACCTATCACCTCAATGGCCTGCGGCTCGGCTCAGAAGCTGCAGGTGCCAGCGACCTGGGCCTCCACAGGGGCCTGAGCGCATTCTCCCTCTCGCGGTGTGTCAGCTCCTTCTAACTCCTTTTCAGGGCTTCCTAGTGACCACAGCTGCTGTCAGCACACCCGTGACTTGGCACCTCCTGTCATCTCACTCAGCACTCAGACAAGGAAGGAGACTGGAAGGGGAAGCCCGGCCTGAGGTCCCAAAGCTAGGGCGCGGGGGAGCAGGCAAGAAAGGCCCTCTCTCTCCTGGCTGGCTCCGAAGGCTCCATGCCGGGAGGGGTGTGGGGCCGGGGCTGGGGGACTATGGGAAAGGATATCTGTACTGCAGCTTCTTGATGAGCTCCTCCGGGGTGATGAAGGTCCTGTAGGTGGTCAAGAAGGCCTCACAGTACAACACCAAATCTAGAGCGAAGAACACCTGATGAGCGATGCCTGCCACTGGCAGGAGACAAAGATGGGCAGCTCTCCTGCCGCACATACTTGCCATCCCTGACCACACATCAAGAGCTTCTTATCTGTCCTAAGACTTGATGATTCAAAGGGTAGTAATTGTGCGCATAGAAAAAATAATTCAAACTCATCAGCAGAATTTTGAGGCTAAATCACAGGTGATACTTTAGATGGCAGGGCCCAGGAACAAAAATCTTGGGAATTTCCGCATCTTGAGAGACCTAAGATAAGGCTGTTCTTCTCTGGACACGGACCCCCTTCTCCTGTCTTCTCTCGTTCACCCCTCAGCTCGCCAGGTGGAAGAAGCGAGAGGATCCCCGCTTCTCCAGCGGAGCAGTGCAGGCTCCTGTGCCCTGGCCAATCACCTCCAGGACAATCGAAAGCAAAAGCAACACCTGCTCTGGCATCTGGGGTCTGGGGTCTGGGGTCTGTGCAGGGGTGGGCCTGGCTGGAAGCACAGAGCATGGCCCAACAGCATCCTGCTCAGGCTCCTCCTTCCTGGATCCTAACTCACCAGCTCACTGCCCACTGGGGCTTTTGTTCAAAGACGGGCTAGGTGAGGAGGCAGAGATGGGCCCAGCACAGGCCACTGCCTGCTTCTGGAAGAACAGATCCAAGTCTGCATGCCCTAAGCCGTGGGCGATCCAGGATAGTAGCGTTGGGGTGGTCTCTGGTCCACAGGAAGCCACTGCCCAAGGAACGTGCTATGTGGCCCAGGGCCTCTGCCTCCACCATCCATCCACGTACAAATGACTTTGTTTCCCTGCGGCCTCAGAATCTCTCCATGACTGAGATCAAGTGGAGGTCCCAGCTGGCGGCAGCGCCTCCTTTCCTGGGCACCATTGGCCACCTGGAAGGCTCTGGACTGCCCTGTCCACGGGGCTCCCTCTGGCCGGGGCTGCAGCTGGCTGCAGCTGCAGGACAGCAAGGCTTGCTGCTCCAACCTGAGGATGGAGCCAGCTCCCACCTCAGTCCTTCGGATAAAAATGAAAACTGTTCCTCTCGCCCAGATGAGGCTGGTGCTCAGGCTCGTGTCGAGGAGGGTCTGCTGCAGAGAAGCAGAGCGAGGGCTGCTCCTGAGCACGGCCTCACATCAGCTCCACGCATCTCCCTGTCCACTGGGGACCTCTTCAAACAGCCAGGTCAGCTGAGGCCGGGCCGGGCCGGGCCGGGGCGTGCCTGGCTTTGAACTCAGTCCCCAGGACCGGGCTCTGCCCTAGTCCAGAGAAACCAGGGGTGAAGAAACCGCAGAAGGCAAAACAGTGGCTACAGTGGTTTGTTGGAGTTATTTCTTCTTTTTCTCTATTCTCCAACTTCTCTGCAATGTGACCATTTCTGTACTACTTTCATAATTTAAAAATTCCCAGAATCATTCTGTGTAACAGGGAAATCTGCTGTAAAAACAGGAACATGGTCATATATAAAAGTAATGTTGGTGGGTGAGGGTTTAAGGATTGGGGCATTTTAATTCTTCCCAGAACTGGCTTTAATACTGTTGTCACATCCCCTTTTTAATAACTTTCAAAGACGTAGAGGGAGAGGAGTCTGGGGAGCGCCCCTCCCCCGTCCTGGCAGAGGTCAAGGTCATGGCACCTCCTCTCCCGCTTTCTGCCAGAACCCGAGGTGGAGTGAGCGCGCTTTTGCTAGCACAGAGTCCACCCAACAGCAGGTCCCCTGGATCAGAAGCCCGTCCTAGGACGGGGCCACCACTGCTCTAAGACTGGGCTCCGGACAGAACACGTGCTGGGGTCTGCTTGTGGAGCCACGAGTGAAATCCTGTCTAGTGTCTGGAATAACACAGTGGGTCAGACCTCAGGAAGCGCTGAAACAGCTACCTACGTGTTGTTACCTGAGGTGCCGCTGGCGGAGCACCTAACTAGGTTCTGCGCTCGCAGCTTCCCCTCTGCCGCCTCTGGGGACCCTTGGGGTCGCCACTACCCTTCACCGTGGAGGGTGCACCCTGAGAGGGCTGGTCTCATCCCCAGGGTGGGCTCTCCGCACAGTGGCCGCGGGCACCAGGACCACGTTCTGACCCCCGGAGGGCTGTGGGGCCAGCCCGCCCCAAGGGCTGTGACAGAGACCAAGGCCCCCGCCCAGAGCACTGCCGCACCTTTCCTGTCTGTCTCAGTAGCGTGCACCAGTAGGATATCTCCAGACCCGCCACGGACGTCTGGCCCGTCGTCACCCTGCAAGGACAAAGCAAAGGAGGGCATGGAGCAGAATTCAGCCATAAGAGAGTTGGATCAGAAAGTTCTAGGCAGAGACGAGATGACCAAGCCGCTGCACTGCAGAGAGCCCGGGGCCGCCTTCCCTCCGCCCCCCCGCCCCCCACCTAGGAGCAATGCTCTGCACTCCGCAGACAGGACAGACCAGAACTCCTCTGGGAGGTGGACGGCCCTGGGAGCTGTCCAGACACCAGGGCACGTTGCACTGGGTCACTCCAGAGTTGGGGGACGATGGCCCCATTAGATCTCTCCCTCTTCACCAACCCAGGGGGCAGGGAGGTGAGGAGGGGAGTTCTCCTGCCGGGACGGTGGGACCCACAGGGAGGCAGGCAGGACTGCCACCAGCCACTCCCAAGAAGACTGTAGAGGCAGCAGGGCTATTTCCAAGTACGGTCACGTTCCTAAAACTGCAGCAAGCCATCCTAAATTTACATCTGTTTCCCCAGGTGCAAGGAGAAGTCACTTGTCATAATCTCACAAATTCCACAGGGAGCCCTCAGAGGAGCGTAAAGTGTCACAAAGACGTTCAATTGTGCCTGACGTCGCTTCTATGATACCAGCTGCCCTCTGCCAATTAAGTAAAAAGTCTTACTTTCATGTTGGCAAACAGAAACTTTAGCCCATAAGCCAGAGCGAGCGGTCAGCAGGGCCAGGAATGGGAGCACAGCACCAGGCCTGCCTGAGCGCACCACCCCCAACCTCTGGTTCTGAAGGAAACCAACCTCACGACCCCCACGGCTTCACGGCCCTCAATTTCGGAAATGCACCTGCCTCTCCAGGGCATCCGTGTTTTCACCCCTGGATTCCAGAGTCCCGAGAGCATCTTGGATCTCCAGCTAAGGCTGAGGGTAGCTATGCCCAGGACCTGATTTTTCAGAAGGACTTTCTGGCAAGGGTCACGAAGCATCACTTCTCTCTGCAGACAAGCCGGCTGCCCCACTGTCCCCGCCTGCCCTGCCCTGCCTGTTCCGCTCGGCCCAGCCCGGCACTGTGCAAAGGGCAGAATCCGCCTGCCTGTCTGTGCGTCCGTGTGTGCGCTGCCATGGAGCCGGAGCCCAGAAACACAGTCATTTCCCCAGGGCTGGGTCGGGGCTATCACATTAAGAGGTTCCTCTGTGTTTCCAGAATCGCACAAGGCCCTCCTGACAAGCCACAGGACAGAGGCGGCTGCGGGCCAGGGATTTCTGAATCAGACTGTGCCTCCCACTGAAACTACAGTGGGTTATTCGGTCAATACGAATGTGAAGGCAGCTTATGCTGAGGGCTCACCACGCTCAGGCTCTATGCTGAGCACCCTACACGGGTTTCACTGTTATAATATCCTCCAGAGTCCTGTCCTCTGGGGCTTAGAGATGTTAAGTGACTTGCCCAAGATGACTCTCTAGAAGTGTCAGAGAAGGGGACAGTGCACTTTCTCCAGGAGACCATCCATTTGCCCAGGATCCTTCAGCACCCCAGTGGCCCAGGCATGGGTCAGGATAAATGCCGTGCACAGAGCCCACGAAATGTGGGGTGGCCACCTCATGTGCTGGTGCCTTGCATGGGTCCTTCTGTTTGAGACACCTCAAGGTTACATTGTCCTCAAAGCCCCCTCACCCCCTTTATGGACCAGACCGCACAAGGCCTGTACTCACCTCCTGCTTGAGTGTCAGCCTTGCCATAATCTCACTGTGGTCGATGAGGGACAGCTCATCCACTTCCTCCTCCGATCGAGCCAACTCTGAACCATCTGGTGACCTTGAGGCCCTAGAGAGAGAAGTGGTTTATGTTGCAAGGGTCCAGCAGACACTGGGGTCCGGGACACCAGGGGGCTGAAGTAGTATGGCCCTTTGCGTGACTACGAGTTACGACTGCCCCTAACAGGTTCTCCTGGAACTGCAGCTCCCACATGAAGGCCATACTGCTCCCCACCCCCAGCACAGGGGGCCTGAGTGGAGGCCGGAAGCCAGGGCAGGGACTGGATTTCCAGCGCCACTACTGATGACTTCTGTGACCTTGGGACATTTCTTGCTCTCTGTGGATGCTCTGTCAATGGAAGGGATTAAGAAAGAGACTGGGGAGCCTGGGTGGCTCAGTGGGTTAAGCATCTGACTCTTGATCTCAGCTTAGTTCTTGATCTCAGGGTCATGAGTTCAAGTCCTGCGATGGGCTCCATGCTGGGCGTGGAGCCTACTTTAAAAAAAAAAAGAATAAAGAAAAAAAAATGAAAAGAAGAAAAAAAGATCAAGAAGGTTTCATTGAGCTATTTAAAAAAGTGATGGGATCAGTCACTCTGTCAAGGCCACCATATGCACAGTCAGTATTCAAAGACAGGAAGAGCAAGAGGGCAAGCAGGTTGGGAGAGTTTGCATGGCTATTAATGTCATTCCTCAAGTCTTTTCCAAGGGCCACCTGTTGGACTGAGAAGCATGAACCAGGCAGACTGGCCCTTGCCCTTGGGGTGCTGGGTGCAGCAGGAGAGACTGATGTTAAAATGAGCGGTAGGGGCAGTAGCCTGAGCAGAAAGCCCAGCCCGGTGTGAAGGGCAGCAGGCCCCTGCAGCAGGACAGCCGAGCGGAGACCTGTGGCACTGAGCAGGAGTTTGCTGGTGAAGGGGGAGGAGGAGAGAACTGCCAGCAGAGGGGAAATGTGGGGCAGCGAGGGGGCATTCTGGGAGCAGACGGATGCTGGTGTGCAGGCACCTTGCTTCCCTGGCATTTTCTCCCATATCCCCATTTTATTCTGATGATTTCCACCATGCCGGCCTTGTGGTCATAGGCCACATTTTTAACCCTGAGTATGTGAGACATAAAAATTTGTGCCTTCAGTAAGGCAAGGATGGCCCAGAGCAAAATCACACACGGTCCTGGGAAGAACCATCTGCTACATGTCCCTTCAGTGTCGGGTCTGCACTCTGGCCTTCGTGGAAAGAGGACAACATTTTCATAATTGCTTCTAAGCAGTCAATGTGCTCATCCTGTTTTTTTTTTTTTTTTTTTTACAAGGGCCATCTGCAACTCTGAAAAATGGTGCTCTCGGGTTCAGTGCGGCTGGAGGCAGAACCCGTGGGCTCAAGTTGCTTGGTGCAGACGCCGTTTGCTACCAGGTGTTCAACTACAAAACCCATCACCCCCTGCTTAACCCGTGGGGAGATCTTAGCCCGGGCAGACGGATCAGGCAGACTCCACATGGATAGCACCTAGGACTGGCCACCAGCAGGCTGGGTGGGCAGCCCTCTACAGCAGTTCCCTACAGAATGAATGCTTTCTGTTTTTATTCCTGTCTCTTGCTATTTTATTTTTACCACCTCTTCAACCACTTATGCTTAGGCCTGACAAGTGGGTACTGCCTGGCTCTGTGCCTAGAACCCCAGAGGTAGCTGAACCTTGGCCTGGAGAGGGAGGAAAAGCTTGAACTTGTAGAACAGTTCACTAAGAAGGTGACGTCAACACGAAGTTGCGGATGGCAAGGTGGATCTGCAGGCCCTACACATGGAGAAATTTACTACATATTTCTAAACCTGGTCAGGTGTGACTTGTGCTAATACTGAAAAATGTTACAAAAGATTAAAGAGACATACAACTAAATGTACTGACTTCTGACTGGTCTTGGTTCTAAAAAAAATAAGCTACACAAGTTAATTTTAGGGAGGACTGGGGAAATGGAAGATGGTTTGCATATCAGATGATATGAGGGAATATATTATTAATTTTCTTAGGTGTGATGATGGTATTGTAATACGGCAGGCTTTTAAAATATTTTAGGAGGAGGGGTGCCTGGGTGGTTCAGTCAGTTAAGCATCCAACTCTTTTTTTTTAAAAGATATTTCTTTATTGAGAGAGAGCGTGAGAGTGAGCACAGGCAGGGGAGGGGTACAGAGAGATGGAGAAGCAGACTCCCCACTGAGCAGGGAGCCCTATGCGGGGCTGGATCCCAAGACCCTGGGATCATGACCTAAGCTGAAGGCAGATGCATAACTGACTGGGCCACCCAGGAGCCCTAAGCGTCCAACTTTTGATTTCAGCTCAGGTCATGATCTCAGGGTCGTGAGATCAAGCTCTGCGTTGGGCTCTGTTCTGGGTGGGGAATCTGCTTGAGATTCTCTCTCTCTCCCCCTCTTGCCCACACCCGGACCCCCACATGCTCGCTCGCTCTCTCTAAAATAAGTAAGTCTTTTTAAAAAATTAAAATGTTTTAGGAGGCACATTGAAGTATCTAGGGGCTGAATGTCATGTCTGTAACTTACTTTCAAATGGTTTAACAACACAATATACACACCACATCTAGTAACTCACAATAAAAAGTTTTTTTCGGGCGTCTTTGACACCCCCTTAGTGCGCCTGAACTTGGAAGAGGCCGAGGAAGGTTGGCCTGGGATTTAAGACTGTCATGGGTCATTTGCAGAGTAGATCATATGTGAGCACATAATCAGGAAGCAGGGCAGACTGCATGCCAGAATGAAGGTCTTTAAGGGTGGGATTATTAGTGACATATCTGGTTGACTCACACATTTCTGTACTTGCCATGTTTTCTACCCTGGACACACAGAATTTCGCGAGTCAGAAGAAAGGAAAGGGTGTAGACCTCAAGCTCCCGCAGGCCTGGCTTGCTTGTGGGCAAGGGGCCGCCCTCCCCAGCCGGGCCTGCAGCTTTCAGGGAACCTGCTCCACCTGGTCACTCCCTACCTGTCACCGTCTCTGCTCTCCTTCCCGGCCGCGCTGCTGGCCGACGAGGGATCTCTGGGATGTCCGTCTTTCACAGCTGGTGATTCCTGAAAGGAGAAGTCGGTAGTGGGTTTGTGACAGGTGCCCCATGCTGGGAGGATCTGTTTCCCAGCATTCCCGCCTGCAAGTGGCCTCTGAGCGCAAGTTCCTATGGAGCAATCCGACATGTGAACAAGGTAACCGTGAATGTGGTTAATGACACAGGAAGGGCAAGGCCCTCTTCGGACTAGCATCTTGCCTTTATGGACAGTGACAGGTGCCCCTACTTAGGACCTCTGTCAGCTGCCAACCTAGATGAAGCCATCCCAAGCACCTCCTAGGAGAAAGGACTGTCACGGTGGCCACTACTCAGCCAGGCTCAGCCAAGCACTGTGCTAAGGGCTTCATGTACCTCTTCTCGCCCGGCCCTGACCAAGACCCTGTCTGTTCACTGGCATCCCTGTGCCCACTCACACACACACACACAGGCTGGGAGCGATTGAAGGCCCTGCCCAAGACCACACAGCTAGAAGGCTGCAGCCTGCATTCAAACCCAGGGTTGTCTGCCTCCAAAACCTGTGTCTTTAACCACTGTGCCCCGCCAGTGTGCAACAAACCTTTGCTGACTTCCTAGTTAAACCAAGTCCTCAGGACTGCCATGTTCAACTGCCTCCCAGTAGAGTTCCAAGGGGTCTAAGTGCTCGAGCGCATGAGTGCAACCCGCTCTCCTCCAGCGGCCTGGCCCTGGGCATCTGGGCCCATCCCACTCAGTGACAACATGGCTATCTGGCATCCCTGGTCTGCCACCGAGGCCACAACAGAGAGCAGGGCGGCATGGAAACACAGATTATCCTAAGGGACAGTGCTCTGAGGAAAAGTCAGCTCTGACCGTGGTCATGGGTGGGGGGGGAGAGCCACGGAAGGCCAGCTAGGGATAGGCTCCATTGTGTGGAGGCCAAGCTGGATGATGTGGGGGCACAGGTCAGCAGAGCGGACAGGTGAGGAGCGAACATCAGAAGAGAAACAGCTTCCATGGACAGGGTCGAATCCCACCGGGGTGAAAACTCGTGTTCTAGGACTTGCTAATGCCTCAAGTGGGGCTTGCCTTGTGTGGACAGCTAACATCCTGTGGGGATGCCCTTGGTGGGGGGGTGCATCTTACGAGGAGTGACCATACTTTTAATGGGCTAGGCCCTGTGAGCTGATCACCAGGGAGGACTCGAGTCCTCATGGCACTTCCTCTCAAGGGACTCATTATTTTTTGAAGCTTTTGAACTTGTTCATGTTTTGCTGCAGCAAAACCCGGCAAGCTGACTGCTCAGCAGAACGGCCATATCGAGCTGGGACAGAAGTCAGCCAAAGGTGGCCACATCAGGTGTTTCTCTACGCTCTCAGGAGGGAGGTGCATTAACACAGCAGGGGCTCACTGCCAGACCCACCCGGCTTCTGAGGAAGCTGCTCCTGTGGGGATGAAGGAGAGTGCTGGGGGAGCACGAGGGGGCGAAGGCTCGGGAGGCTTGGTGGTGTAGGAGAAAAGACTCCCGCCCTCTGGGTAGGGGACGGAAGATGGACCTCAACACTAGAAGACAGGACAGAAAGAAATCCCGGAGAGCAACTGATGTGTGGCCAGGCCAACACCATGCTGCCTCTGCAGATTTCCAGAAGACCCCTGTGGCCTGAAAAGTGCCACATGCACTGAAAGCAGAGGGAGGACCTCCTCCAGGAGCCACGTCCTCTCCCCACGGAGCCATGCTGGCTCTCGGCAAGGCGGCGGGGCCCCAGCCTGCCTGCTAGCGACCGGGAGGCTCAGCCAGGCAGAAGCAGGGCCCAACCCTGCCAGGCCAGGCCACATGCACGAGGCAGCCCCGAGGTTACTTACTCCTCGAGAGTGAGCCAGCTCCTCGCTGCCCTGGCCAGAGGAATACAGATTGACGTATTCACCCTCACCAGCCTCCTCACTGGTGTTTTCACTCTGGGGGAGACAGGATGAGAGGAAGTGCACATGTGACAGGCCCCCTAGGCAGCCAGCACGGCTCAGAGGGCTGGCCCTGCCTGGGGCCCTCCTCCCGTGGGGAGGAAAAGGGGCAGCGGCGGGCCCTCGCTGCTCCTTGGGAAGCTTCCCCCCGGCCAGAGAACGCTGCTGCTTTGCCACCTCTTGCCTGTGTTACAGGGGACGTAACTTTCCTGCTGGATCTTCCCCAAAGAGGGGGAGGGCCGTTCAAACTGCCCTGAGGAGGCGCACTCCTCCCTGCGCTCCCCAGAGGGGTTCCCAGCGCCACGGCGGGCCGGGGAGGGAGAGAGGCAACACCAGACAAGTCAACACGCGGCCACGCCCTGCGCCCTGCACCCTGCAAGGTGGTGGCCCCGTGCCCCGATGAAGAACTCAGCGAGCGGAACGGCACAGGCAGCAGGCCCTCCATCAGCAGCACACGCGGCACCAGAGGCCACCACCTCTGACCTCTGTCAGGGTCCTGTCTGCATCTGTCTTCCCAGCGTGTCGGTAGCTTTCTTTAACAACACACAACCCAACGGAAAACCGGGAGCATTTTCTGTCTCATGCGCACGAGGACTGTCTCTAAGTGGTCACTAATCCGTTGGTGGAAAATGAGATTCCCCATCTGACGGGAACTTCGTATGGAAGGTTCCCTTTTCTGTTCTGGAGACAGACAGGCTACTACTGCACTTTGTGACCTTCCGGGGACCCGGACCTAGCCCCGCTGTTACGGGGCACGTGCCGGCAACGGGCCTGGCTACCAGTGACAGGCGGTGACGGCGGGCTCGTGAACGGCCATCCAGCAGCCCCACGTGGAGGGGGGTGTGCGCTGAGTTCTCACCGAAGGCGTCTGGGGCGAGTCAGTGAGAGAGATTTCGGAAGGAAGGCGGACAGTGTTCCCATGAAAGTTGCTCTCCTGAGAAGATGAGAGAGGCCCGTCCACGGTGCTGGGAGGCAGACTGGCTACGGCTGGCACCGCTAAGTCAGAGCTCTGAGACTGGTGGACGGGTGGGAAATGTGGAGAGGAAGAGGAGGTAGGCGGAAGGAAAGGTTGAACGGAAGCTTGGTTGTGAGGCACGAAATCCTGGGAGTAGGACCTAAACACAGATTTATACTACAGAATCAAGGCGGAAGACAGACACAAAAACGGGAAGATGGGAAGAAGAAAACAGACAAGAGAAAAAGTCATTAGATTAACTCAGCTGAACTGTGGCAGGCTGTTCACAGTAATTCTAATGAGGACCACCGACCAGGCCAAACCAACCCCCGCACTCCTCTGGCCGAGGTTCCCCAACCCGGGCACATCCTCCCTTGAGAAGGGCCTGAGGACCGACCAGCCCCTTCTTCGGCGTCTGAACAGTAGGATGCGGGCACCCCCAAAGAAGAGCCAGCCCTGCATGCTGTCCAGGTGGTCCCACTTTCTGCTCCGCCAAACCCAACCCATGCCTTCATCCCTTCAGAACTTGTGGCTAAATTCAATATGTGCACTCAGACACCTGGGTCCTATTTACTCATTTTGAATCTTCTGCATGAATCTCTTTGGTTTTATCCCTTAAAAGTCAAACACTACAGCCTTTTAAATACCGTAATCCACCTGAAATGCTTTTGGAAGGGAAGGTTTAGGCCTTAAAAATGGTTGGAAGGACTGTGCTATCAAAATGCTAAAAATTTCTGAGTTCATGCCTCTTCCTATACAATCTTTTCCTTTTTTTTTTTTTTTTAACAAATGAAGGGGCTTGCAAGGTTCTGATACCACCTTACAGGGGCAAGGGTACACTCTCCCAGATTCTCATCAAGAGAGAGGTCTGGAGCCAGGCTGAGGGGTGACAGTGAATGCCCGCAGCTTCTTAGTCAACGAGCACTGTCCAGGCCTGGGCTCTGCTGCAGGAGGAGGG